CCAAATTGGCTAAAGTCCCATAAACTGATGATTTCCAAGAATATATTTTTCTCTTCTTTTATATGTAAACCTTGCCTAAATACACATAACCAGACTTAATGGCAACATCCCAAAATGAATTTTTAAATTTGGACTAAGTTTTGAAGACTTTTTCACAGTGCTGAAATTGGACCAAATTGGCTAAAGTCCCATAAACTGATGATTTCCAAGAATATATTTTTCTCTTCTTTTATATGTATACCTTGCCTAAATACACATAACCAGACTTAATGGCAACATCCCAGAATGAATTTTCAAAGTTTGACTGAATTTTACAGGTTTTTTCACAGTACTGAAATTGGACCAAATTGGCTAAAGTCCCATAAACTGATGATTTCCAAGAATATATTTTTCTCTTCTTTTATATGTAAACCTTGCCTAAATACACATAACCAGACTTAATGGCAACATCCCAGATTGCATTTTCAAATTTTGACTGAATTTTACATGTTTTTTCACAGTACTGAAATTGGACCAAATTGGCTAAAGTCCCATAAACTGATGATTTCCAAGAATATATTTTTCTCTTCTTTTATATGTATACCTTGCCTAAATACACATAACCAGACTTAATGGCAACATCCCAGATTGCATTTTCAAAGTTTGACTGAATTTTACAGGTTTTTTCACAGTACTGAAATTGGACCAAATTGGCTAAAGTCCCATAAACTGATGATTTCCAAGAATATATTTTTCTCTTCTTTTATATGTATACCTTGCCTAAATACACATAACCAGACCAAATGGCAACATCCCAGAATGAATTTTTAAATTTGGACTAAGTTTTGAAGACTTTTTCACAGTGCTGAAATTGGACCCAATTTGCTAAAGTCCCATAAACTGATGATTTCCAAGAATACATTTTTCTCTTCTTTTATATGTATACCTTGCCTAAATACACATAACCAGACTTAATGGCAACATCCGAGATTGCATTTTCAAAGTTTGACTGAATTTTACAGATTTTTTCACAGTACTGAAATTGGACCAAATTGGCTAAAGTCCCATAAACTGATCATTTCCAAGAATATATTTTTCTCTTCTTTTATATGTAAACCTTGCCTAAATACACATAACCAGACTAAACGGCAACATCCCAGAATGAATTTTCAAATTTTGACTGAATTTTATAGGTTTTTTCACAGTACTGAAATTGGACCAAATTGGCTAAAGTCCCATAAACTGATGATTTCCAAGAATATATTTTTCTCTTCTTTTATATGTATACCTTGCCTAAATACACATAACCAGACTAAACGGCAACATCCCAGAATGAATTTTTAAATTTTGACTGAATTTTACAGGTTTTTTCACAGTACTGAAATTGGACCAAATTGGCTAAAGTCCCATAAACAGATGATTTCCAAGAATATATTTTTCTCTTCTTTTATATGTATACCTTGCCTAAATACACATAACCAGACTAAACGGCAACATCCCAGAATGAATTTTCAAATTTTGACTGAATTATACAGGTTTTTTCACAGTAGTGAAATTGGACCAAATTGGCTAAAGTCCCATAAACTGATGATTTCCAAGAATATAATTTTTTCTTCTTTTATATGTATACCTTGCCTAAATACACATAACCAGACTTAATGGCAACATCCGAGATTGCATTTTCAAATTTTGACTGAATTTTACAGATTTTTTCACAGTACTGAAATTGGACCAAATTGGCTAAAGTCCCATAAACTGATGATTTCCAAGAATATAATTTTTTCTTCTTTTTATATGTATACCTTGCCTAAATACACATAAACAGACTAAACGGCAACATCCCAGAAGGAATTTTTAAATTTCTACTGAATTTTGAAGATTTTTTCACAGTTTTGAAACTGGACCAAATTGGCTAAAGTCCCATAAACTGATGATTTCCAAGAATATATTTTTCTCTTCTTTTATATGTATACCTTGCCTAAATACACATAACCAGACTAAATGGCAACATCCCAGAATGAATTTTCAAAGTTTGACTGAATTTTACAGGTTTTTTCACAGTACTGAAATTGGACCAAATTGGCTAAAGTCCCATAAACTGATGATTTCCAAGAATATAATTTTTTCTTCTTTTTATATGTATACCTTGCCTAAATACACATAACCAGACTAAACGGCAACATCCCAGAAGGAATTTTCAAATTTCTACTGAATTTTGAAGATTTTTTCACAGTTTTGAAACTGGACCAAATTGGCTAAAGTCCCATAAACTGATATATTCCAACACTAAATTTGGACCAAATTGGCCGAATCCCCGTGTTGTTGTTAGATTCCTTATATGTTGCATATCTACGATGAAACTGTAATTTCTATGTGAACCATATTATTTATGTCAAAATCTAAGACCGAAAAACAAAATTTGTGTCATTACTTCTGGCGGTAAATGGTATTCTCTTATCAAGAAAGTGATAAAATCTACTTCAAACACGATATAGCTATGTTCTATGAGAAAACTTAACGCACACTCGCAGTAAATATATACAGTCCGTTTGAAGTTGCACGCATAGTTACAGGATTACCAAAACGCATACTTGAAACAGGATGGAGCACTGTTCAGAAAGAAGAAAACATCGCTAACTTTGCATATTACATAAAAGTTACAATGATAAAGTCACCACATATATATTTACGTGACCCTTTGTCTATTACTGTTTAGACGGGGACTTCATAAAAAAATTAGCAATGCGTGTAATATTAAAAAACATATATTTTATTTCCTTCATCTTAAAAAATGTGAAGCGATGTACATATTGGAGAAGGGGACTAGTCAACCCGTACTTTCAACAACCCGTAACCCATACCTGAGATTTTGGCTTACCCATACCTACATTTGGCTGATCCGTACTCAAATTGGCCGACCCGTACCTAAAATTGGCTGACCCGTCCCCAAATTCGGTTAAGCCGTACCTAAAATTGGCTGATCCGTATCTATACATTTGGCTGACCCGTACCCTATAGACGTGTTTGTTATTAGAAAACAAAGTGGCGGAGAAACAGGATTGTTTTAACCAGAAGAGACAAAGGAAAACATACAAAAAAGTGTTTGATGCACATATTCATTCAATTTCATTCAATTCATACAAATTTATACTTCAGTCTCGGTGAATGACATCGACCGGACGTAGACAACATCATATTTATGCTAACTTTCGTCCAAGAGACCAGTTTGTGAAATATATCGGATGTTGTTTTCAGTAATTCCGACTGCCTTGAAGCTAGCCATTGTTATTACAAACTACCTATCGGTAGCGATTGGCTTATTCAGTTATTAACATGCTTTTCATTCAGTTAACTAAACATGGCAGTTTTCAGATTATCAAAAGTTTAGCGTTTTATAAAAAATCTCATTATTTTGATAGTAAATGTCAACAATGAGTGTTTTACAAATTGGCTCAATCAATTAAGTGAACTTCCCGCTTTTGTTTAAGCATATTGGGTCAAGAAACTCTTGAGGGTCATGTCGATGTTAGATAAAACTATGTCTTTGTGTTGAATATTAGTATTAATAATATCAATTTCTATTGGGTACGGGTAAGCTTTTTCAAGGCAAGGGCCACTGAGTAAGGGTTATTGAAACATGGGTACGGGTAAGTCAAGAGATGTTTTCCCGCCCTCTCACTAAACTGAAGAGTAATAAACAAACAAACCACGTGAAATAAGAACATACAATATATAATAAAATCAAAACAAAAATTGTCTGCGAGGTCTGTCATGAGATAACTTCAAAAGGAATGTCCACTGGACGACGAGGTCATTGTTTGCGTCAGTAACACAAATTGTACATAGATTTGAACTAATAATAAATGTCTGTGTAGGTAACACCTATACAAATATATTTTCAAAAGAGATTGAATTTCCAAAAATATCTATCAATAATCTCCATTTGTACTTCCCCGTCCTTGTGTTTACACTCCTTAATTTCTGAACATTTCCTAACAGTGTATTTATATTTCGTGTAAATATTGTTAATGAAAGTTATATACCCAAGTTGAAATAAGTTGTGCCAAATTTAAATATAAATATGTTAAAACAACACAGAAGATATATATCCACTGCCCTCCACTGGACAGACTTGCGGTGTTTTTCTTATGATTTTTTCAAATAGCTTTTCATCATTTAACTGGATTTGGGCGACAGTATAAAAAGACAATTAAGTTATTTTGTTTAAGACGTCGATAAGAATTAAGGACTGACGCGTTGATGCCCCAGAAACATTTTACTTTTTAGACTTACGGCAGAAGTTACACATATAACAACTCTTTCACCTACGTGGATTTTCGAAAATCGCGAAAATATAATGATTGTTACAATACAAATAGTGTTAACTCATATAGGAATGATTCGCTTTCGATGCAGTAGTCCCATTCCCACTTTACACTTGTGCTAAAATATCTCATGACATTATTATTATTTTTCTTACAAAATATATGTTTAAAAAATGGCAATAAATATCATATTAGAAGCAACAAATAGCATAAGAGAAAAAGAAGAAAGTTTGACATATCTTCATTAAATACAATCTACTTTGTTTGGAAACAAATTTTATAAAAAGACACACAAACTTGACTTTAATGTTCCTGGAAGAATGACCTCATATGTTTACTTTCAAACTTCGAATCTGAAAGCAAACACAGGATTTGTAACTGCCTGTACAGAAAAGGCACTTGCATGATTTATTCAATGTCAATTTCGTTTCCGTTTACCAATGCAACATTTTAATGTTCAGGCTACGATATCCGCCATTATGGATTGGTCACTTCGCTTTCAGCATGCTGTCGGCTTGTTTAAATCAGAGACTCTCAGATAGCGTATTTTAGTTGCTGTTTATCATTATATATAATAAATATATATATAAAAAAATAATATTTATGAAAACGTTGCGAGATTTTTTAATATTGATTAGAAAAATTGGTCCGGCTAGTCAAATTGGTCCTCTACACACGTCTGTAACGGCCCGTTTTGACTAGGCCCATTTTGACTAACCGATCCACAATTTTATTTCAACCCACTTTCTGCGGGCCACTTTACCAGTTGATACAAAACTGTGAGAAGTTTTTCGACGAACAAAGAAAAAAAATGGAAATTACGTGTTAATATTGTAGAATAAATTTTATTTGCGATATCAGACTCTTACAAACATACAACAATGTTGGGCCAATGATGTTCCAACATTCTAAAGTATTACCCAGCTATGAAACCATTCATGTGTCGCAAAGAGAACATTGATAGTGGGCAGCAAAACGTATTAAGAGTTACCTCCCTTGATAATGCGAAGGAGCCGTCTGGCATAAGGTAGATCTATATTTGTTTATGCTTTTTCAATAGCGCATTGTTTGATTTTAACTTGTCCTACGAAGCCTGTGAATGTTGTAAACTTATGACCAGATAGTAAAGGTCTGTTTCTTATTTAGCACGCCAGGCGTCCTCACACACTGATTAGATCAAGGCCCTTTCAGTGTCACGATGTTTGAACTGTACGAAATCTCGCTTGCAACAAGCCTTCGAGTAACGTTACCAGTGATACAGATCGTCCAATATTTAGGATATTTGCCTACCCATTGTCACAAATGTCCCATTGATTTTGCAGAAATTATACAGCAGTCTATGGGAATGTCCTATTGAAAATTCTAAACATCAGAGATTTTCCAAGAAATGTCCTATTGTCATTTTCCTCAGCTACGTAGATCTAACATAGCTTGTCTGTTCAGAGTTAATAACAATGTTTTTGTGTGACATTAGACATGTGACTGTTTACAGTTCAGTAGACATATTGTGCTGTTGACTTATTTTGTGCACGTAGGAATTTATTTTACCTTTTACCCTAACTGTGTATTTGACTGAGGTAATAGCCAAGTGTACATTTTATAAAATAGATATAAACTGGTTAGAAGTGATACATGTATATGTATCATGTATATATGTATAGTCTTTTGTAGAATTTACTTTGCTTGTATTTCATACACACTAGTGTAACGGTGGATATGTAATATATCTATATGTAGTATACTTATTTGTGCAGGGCTATTCACTGTACATCAATAAAGGAGGTTCCAGCCTGCGTCCCTGAGACAAGGTATGCATGATTAACTATGTATAGACTGTACTTTGTTTTATCTGGAAGGATTTGTCCAAATATATATGCCAAAAGTAAGTAACTATAGATCTAAATGTATTATTATTATTGTTGTTATCTTGTGCCTTTATACTGTCCATACCCATGATATTTATATCAAATTATGTATGTTTTAGGGCAGATCCGGACTATCGTGAAGTTCTCACTCTACGCCCATTGAAAATAAATCCCTTCTGACCCAACAAGTACTCCCTTATCTTTGAGACGACCAGAGTACCGCTGTTACATTTATTTTTTCAAAAAGCAGCTTTTTTTTGTAAGCCCCACTCATCATCACTGAGCACAACCTGCTGAAAATGATCTTACGCTTATTGATTCAATTGTTTTCTTCATGAAATAAATGATGTGACAATACAAAAATATACCGTCATTCAGTTTAAAAAATGTTTCTATCATTCAATATTTAACAATATAATAGCAAGTACTTTAGAAAAACCTGTAAAATGAAGTCAAAATCTGAAATTTCATTTTAGGATGGAGCAGTTTAGCCTGATTGTGTATTTTAAGGCAAGTAGCAAAAAGAAAAATAATATCCTTTATAAATCATCTCATTATTGGACTTGAGCCAATTTGGTCCACTTTTTAAAATTCAGTCAAAATTTAAAAATTCAATCTCGGTTGTTGCTGTTTTGTCTGGTGATGTGTATTTAGGCACGGATATATAAAAGAAGGAAAAATAATATCCTAATATCACCAATTAATGGGACTTTAGACAATTTGATCCAATTTCAGAAATTTGGAAAATATTTTTAAATTCAGTCCAAATTTGATAATTCAATCTGTGATGTAGCTGTTATGTCTCATGATGTGTTTTAAGGTAACGAATGAATAGGAAAAAAGGAAAAATAATATCCCTTGAAATATTCAGTTTATGGGACTTTAGCCAATTTGACCAGTTTCAGTAATTTGGAAAATATCTTTAAAATTCAGTCAAAATTTAAAAATTCAATTTGAAATGTTGCAGTTCTGTCTGATGATGTGTATTTAAGCGAGGAGTAGGTATTAAAAAAGACAAAATATCCATTGGACTCATCAATTTATGGGATTTTAGCATCACATACTTTATTTTTTTCATTTCAGCTTTCTCCATGTGAATAGAACAGATTTGTCCGCATTCAGAAGTTTCCCCACAGTAATGCAGAAAATTCATTCTGGGATGTTGTCGTTAAGTCTGGTTATGTGTATTTAGGCAAGGTATACATATAAAAGAAGAGAAAAATATATTCTTGGAACTCATCTGTTTATGGGACTTTAGCCAATTTGGTCCAATTTCAGTACTGTAAAAAAACTTGTAAAATTCAGTCAAAATTTGAAAATTCATTCTGGGATGTTGCCATTAAGTCTGGTTATGTGTATTTAGGCAAGGTATACATGTAAAAGAAGAGAAAATTATATTCTTGGAAATCATCTGTTTATGGGACTTTAGCCAATTTGGTCCAATTTCAGTACTGTGAAAAAATCTTCAAAATTTAGTCCAAATTTAAAAATTCATTCTGGGATGTTGCCATTAAGTCTGGTTATGTGTATTTAGGCAAGGTATACATGTAAAAGAAGAGAAAATTATATTCTTGGAACTCATCTGTTTATGGGACTTTAGCCAATTTGGTCCAATTTCAGTACTGTGAAAAAGTCTTCAAAATTTAGTCCAAATTTAAAAAATCATTCTGGGATGTTGCCGTTAAGTCTGGTTATGTGTATTTAGGCAAGGTATACATATAAAAGAAGAGAAAAATATATTCTTGGAAATCATCAGTTTATGGGACTTTAGCCAATTTGGTCCAATTTCACTACTGTGAAAAAATCTGTAAAATTCAGTCAAAATTTGAAAATTCATTCTGGGATGTTGCCGTTTAGTCTGGTTATGTGTATTTAGGCAAGGTATACATATAAAAGAAGAGAAAAATATATTCTTGGAAATCATCAGTTTATGGGACTTTAGCCAATTTGGTCCAATTTCAGTACTGTGAAAAAATCTTTAAAATTTAGTCCAAATTTAAAAATTCATTCTGGGATGTTGCCATTAAGTCTGGTTATGTGTATTTAGGCAAGGTATACATGTAAAAGAAGAGAAAATTATATTCTTGGAAATCATCTGTTTATGGGACTTTAGCCAATTTGGTCCAATTTCAGTACTGTGAAAAAGTCTTCAAAATTTAGTCCAAATTTAAAAAATCATTCTGGGATGTTGCCATTAAGTCTGGTTATGTGTATTTAGGCAAGGTATACATATAAAAGAAGAGAAAAATATATTCTTTGAAATCATCAGTTTATGGGACTTTAGTCAATTTGGTCCAATTTCAGCACTGTGAAAAAACTTGTAAAATTCAGTCAAAATTTGAAAATTCATTCTGGAATGTTGCCGCAAAGTCTGGTTATGTGTATTTAGGCAAGGTATACATATGAAAGAAGAGAAAAATATATTCTTGGAACTCATCTGTTTATGGGACTTTAGCCAATTTGGTCCAATTTCAGTACTGTAAAAAAACTTGTAAAATTCAGTCAAAATTTGAAAATTCATTCTGGGATGTTGCCGTTAAGTCTGGTTATGTGTATTTAGGCAAGGTATACATATAAAAGAAGAGAAAAATATATTCTTGGAAATGATCTGTTTATGGGACTTTAGCCAATTTGGTCCAATTTCAGTACTGTGAAAAAATCTTCAAAATTTAGTCCAAATTTAAAAATTCATTCTGGGATGTTGCCATTAAGTCTGGTTATGTGTATTTAGGCAAGGTATACATATAAAAGAAGAGAAAAATATATTCTTGGAAATCATCAGTTTATGGGACTTTAGTCAATTTGGTCCAATTTCAGCACTGTGAAAAAACTTGTAAAATTCAGTCAAAATTTGAAAATTCATTCTGGAATGTTGCCGCAAAGTCTGGTTATGTGTATTTAGGCAAGGTATACATATGAAAGAAGAGAAAAATATATTCTTGGAACTCATCTGTTTATGGGACTTTAGCCAATTTGGTCCAATTTCAGTACTGTAAAAAAACTTGTAAAATTCAGTCAAAATTTAAAAATTCATTCTGGGATGTTGCCGTTAAGTCTGGTTATGTGTATTTAGGCAAGGTATACATATAAAAGAAGAGAAAAAATATATTCTTGGAAATCATCAGTTTATGGGACTTTAGCCAATTTGGTCCAATTTCAGTACTTTGAAAAAACTTGTAAAATTCAGTCAAAATTTGAAAATTCATTCTGGGATGTTGCCGTTAAGTCTGGTTATGTGTATTTAGGCAAGGTATACATATAAAAGAAGAGAAAATTATATTCTTGGAAATCATCTGTTTATGGGACTTTAGCCAATTTGGTCCAATTTCAGTACTGTGAAAAAATCTTCAAAATTTAGTCCAAATTTAAAAAATCATTCTGGGATGTTGCCATTAAGTCTGGTTATGTGTATTTAGGCAAGGTATACATGTAAAAGAAGAGAAAAATATATTCTTGGAACTCATCTGTTTATGGGACTTTAGCCAATTTGGTCCAATTTCAGTACTGTGAAAAAGTCTTCAAAATTTAGTCCAAATTTAAAAAATCATTCTGGGATGTTGCCATTAAGTCTGGTTATGTGTATTTAGGCAAGGTATACATATAAAAGAAGAGAAAAAATATATTCTTGGAAATCATCAGTTTATGGGACTTTAGTCAATTTGGTCCAATTTCAGCACTGTGAAAAAACTTGTAAAATTCAGTCAAAATTTGAAAATTCATTCTGGAATGTTGCCGCAAAGTCTGGTTATGTGTATTTAGGCAAGGTATACATATGAAAGAAGAGAAAAATATATTCTTGGAACTCATCTGTTTATGGGACTTTAGCCAATTTGGTCCAATTTCAGTACTGTAAAAAAACTTGTAAAATTCAGTCAAAATTTGATAATTCATTCTGGGATGTTGCCGTTAAGTCTGGTTATGTGTATTTAGGCAAGGTATACATATAAAAGAAGAGAAAAATAAATTCTTGGAAATCATCTGTTTATGGGACTTTAGCCAATTTGGTCCAATTTCAGTACTGTGAAAAAACTTGTAAAATTCAGTCAAAATTTGAAAATGCAATCTTGGATGTTGCCATTAAGTCTGGTTATGTGTATTTAGGCAAGGTATACATATAAAAGAAGAGAAAATTATATTCTTGGAAATCATCTGTTTATGGGACTTTAGCCAATTTGGTCCAATTTCACTACTGTGAAATTTTTTTCAAAATTTAGTCCAAATTTAAAAATTCATTCTGGGATGTTGCCATTAAGTCTGGTTATGTGTATTTAGGCAAGGTATACATATAAAAGAAGAGAAAAATATATTCTTGGAAATCATCAGTTTATGGGACTTTAGTCAATTTGGTCCAATTTCAGTACTGTAAAAAAACTTGTAAAATTCAGTCAAAATTTGAAAATTCATTCTGGGATGTTGCCGTTAAGTCTGGTTATGTGTATTTAGGCAAGGTATACATATAAAAGAAGAGAAAAATATATTCTTGGAACTCATCTGTTTATGGGACTTTAGCCAATTTGGTCCAATTTCAGTACTGTAAAAAAACTTGTAAAATTCAGTCAAAATTTGAAAATTCATTCTGGGATGTTGCCGTTAAGTCTGGTTATGTGTATTTAGGCAAGGTATACATATAAAAGAAGAGAAAAATATATTCTTGGAAATCATCTGTTTATGGGACTTTAGCCAATTTGGTCCAATTTCAGTACTGTGAAAAAATCTTCAAAATTTAGTCCAAATTTAAAAATTCATTCTGGGATGTTGCCATTAAGTCTGGTTATGTGTATTTAGGCAAGGTATACATGTAAAAGAAGAGAAAATTATATTCTTGGAAATCATCTGTTTATGGGACTTTAGCCAATTTGGTCCAATTTCAGTACTGTGAAAAAGTCTTCAAAATTTAGTCCAAATTTAAAAAATAATTCTGGGATGTTGCCATTAAGTCTGGTTATGTGTATTTAGGCAAGGTATACATGTAAAAGAAGAGAAAAATATATTCTTGGAACTCATCTGTTTATGGGACTTTAGCCAATTTGGTCCAATTTCAGTACTGTGAAAAAGTCTTCAAAATTTAGTCCAAATTTAAAAAATCATTCTGGGATGTTGCCATTAAGTCTGGTTATGTGTATTTAGGCAAGGTATACATATAAAAGAAGAGAAAAAATATATTCTTGGAAATCATCAGTTTATG